GAAGACTGAACACGTCTTTCGTCTCTGCATCCCGAGGACCTAGTTCCAAAAGATGTGTGTCCTGTGTCTTAGCCTGCTTGGGCTGCTATAAGAAAATGCCACTCCCTGGGGTGGCTTAGTATACAACCATCGACTTCCCCCAATTCTGTTTTTTGGGTTTTTGTTTTGTTTTGTTTTTGTTTGTTTTTGTTGTTGTTGTTTCGCTCTTGTTGCCCAGGCTGGAGTGTAATGGCAAGATCTCGGCTCACTGCAACCTCCGTCTCCTGGGTTCAAGCATTCTCCTACCCCAGCCTCTCAAGCAGCTGGGATTACAGGCATGTGCCACCACGCCCAGCTAATTTTTGTATTTTTAATAGAGATGGGGTTTCACCATGTTGGCCAGGCTGATCTCGAACTTCTTCTGACCTCGTGTGATCCACCCGCCTCAGCCTCCCAAAGTGCTGGGATTACAGGCGTGAGCCATTGTTCCTGGCCTCTTTTTTTCTTTTTCCAGGTTCTAGAATGCAGAAAGACTTTTCTGTTTGTTTGTTTGTTTGTTTTGTTTTGTTTTGTTTTTGTAGAGATGGCGGTCTCACTATGTTGTGCAGGCTGGTCTTGAACTCCTGAGCTCAGGCAGTCTGCTACCCTTGACCTCCCAAAGTGTTGGGCTTACAGACATGAGCCACTATGCCCGGCTTTAGGTCTCCCAGTTCTAGAGACTGGGAAGTCCATTGGCAAGGGGCTGGTTATTGGCTTATTAGCAGACAGCTGCCTTCCCACTGTATCCTCACATGGCCCAGAGAGAGCACACCGTAGTCTCTTTCTCTTCTTTTAATACAAACACTAATCCCAACATGGGGGCTTCACTTTCATGACCTTATCTAAACTTTATTTCCTCCTAATGGCCCCACCTCCTAATACCACCCCACTAAGAGTTAGGATTTCAACGTGTAGCACATGACACCATGGAATATTGGTTTGTTTGAAAGGTCTGATTTCAGGCCAGGCACGGTAGCTCATGCCTGTAATCCCAGTACTTTGGGAGGCCGGGGCAGGTAGATCACCTGAGGTTGGGAGTTCAAGACAGGCTTGGCCAACATGTTGAAACCCCATCTCTACTAAAAATACAAAAATTAGCTGGGTGTGGTGGCATGCGCCTGTAATCCCAGCTACTTGGGAGGCTGAGGCAGGAGAATTGCTTGAACCCAGGCGGCAGAGGTGGCAGTGAGCAAAGATTGCACCACTGCACTCCAGTCTGGGTAACAAGAGCAAGAGACTCAGTCTCAAAAAAAAAACAAAGAAATATCTGATTTGAAACATCCTGGGCCACTGCTCATTCTGATGCCCGATACACTCCTGCTTATTAAGCCCTGTATTCCCCACTTAGGCAGAATGCACGGTCCCAGACCTCATAAGGAACAGAGGCCCAGCTAGCTCTGGGACCTAGGAGCCCATGCCTTCTACTTGCTCCTTTGTCCTATTCAGAGCTTTGCCTGCTGCTTAAAACATTCAGATCAAGCATTAGCAATCAGCATTGCTACCAGATGAAGGGTCTAAAGTCAAGTAAACTGAATGACCAGCAGTGATACCCAAGTACTACGTCGACGGTCTTGGGTGAGACACTAAAGCCAACTAAGGACCCAAGTAAAAACTCCTTAAGTCCTGGGCCCCCTTGTCAGGGAAGAGTGGGAAGCCGCACTCTAGGGATACCTCATGGTTTTGACAAACAGGTCCAAGTTGGGGGAGGGGCTTGAGGCAGGGGCCAGAGTCATGGAGGAGGAAGGGCAAGGACCTGGGGTCCTTTTCTGCTGATGCTCAGAAAACCATTTGGCATGTGGAAATCCCAAAGAAATCAGCATTTCTGGGGATTTCCTTCTGTAATGTTAAATGCCAACAGGACTCGGGACTTTTCACTTAATAACCAGTTAATGAAGTAACAAAACTGTTCCCCTCTTTTGTATAATAAAGAGGCTGTGGGTTGATTTGCCTTTTAACTGATTAATTAACGGGTGGATGTCCAGGCCCTATGCCCACTTCGGAGGGGGCATTAAACAGTCCCAAGTCCCCATTCCTTCCCCTAAGAACACAGTGTTGTTTGGTTCACTACAAAAGCAGAAGAGACTGTCCCCACTAGCCTTGAAGCATCCATGTGCCACGGGGCACAGGGGCCTGAAACCATCCCAAAGATCCAGCGAGCTGGGAGACGCTCAACCCTCCACATGGGAGAAGAGGCTCTGCCCTTTCTACTCATGACAATCTGAAATAAAACAACAGTGTTCTCAGAAAGTCCTGATAAACCCTTAAGATGCAATGTCTGAAGCTACCTTTGAGATTCAATCCTTAAATAGGTTTTATTACCAAGAAAACAGGATGCCTGGACCTCCTGCATGGCTGCCTCTACCCTCCCTGCTGAGCTTCTAAAAAACGTCCCATGTGGCTGAACGAGGGGTGGGGGATTCCTGCATATTCAAGGGGCTGCTGTGATCACTACAGGTAGATCCCTTTTTAATTCTGCCCAAGTGGACAGCCATGCAGCACGTGTTTTCTTGCTCACTTAGGCTAAGGCTATAGAAAACACCAAGTTTCTTGGAGTCCATTGCCCTTGAGGAGTGGAATCCTGAGGGGAAGATAAGATGAACATATATGGGGTCATTAGAAGGCAGCAGAAGGCAGTTATGAAGGGGCGGGGAGGGTGACTGTGTGCGCATGTGTGCAGGTACACGTGTGTGTGCACTTCCACCCCACAGTCTGTGGGTGTGCCCTCCAAATAACTGTGCACAATTTTGGAGTTGTCCATTATTTCACAATGTCCATTCTTTGCCCTGACATCTGACAGAGGTTGTAAGCCAGCAACCCTCACGCATATATGATTTGTTAGAGATACGCTGTGGTATGGTTTTGTTTTTGCTTTCTTGTTTTTTGGGTTTTGGGGGTTTTTTAAGAGACAGGATCTCAATGTGTCAGGCTGGAGTGCAGTGGCGCGATTATGGCTCACTGCAGCCTTGAACTCCTGGACTCCAGTAATTCTCCCAGTTCAGCCTCCCAAGTTAGCTGGCACTACAGATTCACACCACTATGCTCAGCTATTTAATAATTTTTATTAATTTTTTTTTGAGACGGAGTCTTGTTCTGTCACCCAGGCTGGAGTGCAATGGCACGTTCTGGGCTCACTGCGACCTCTGCCTCCTGAGTTCAAGTGATTCTCCTGCCTCAGCCTCCTGAGTAGTTGGGACTACAGATGCGCGCCACCACTCCCAGCTAATTTTTGTATTTTTAGTAGACACGGGGTTTCACCATGTTGGTCAAGCTGGTCTCGACCTCCTGAACTCAGGTGATCTGCCCGCCTCGGCCTCCCAAAGTGCTGGAATTACAGACATGAGCCACCACGCCCAGCCCCTTTTTATAATTTTTTGTAAAGACAAGGTCTCACCAGGTTGTCCAGGCTGGTCCGGAATTCCTGGCCTCGAGTGATCCTCCCACCTGGGAGGATTACCCAGTGTAATCCCAAAGCACTGGGATTACAGGTATGAGCCACCGCACACAGCCCACTTCTTCGTTATTCTTATTTACTTTTACTTTATTTTATTTTATTTTACTTTTCATTCTTTTTTTTTTTTTTTTTTTTTTTTTGAGATAGGGTCTTGCTCTGTCACCCAGGCTGGAATGCAGTGACACAGTCTTGGCTCACTGCAGCCTATGCCTCCCAGGCTCAAGTGATCCTCCGTCCTCAGCCTACCGAGTAGCTGGAACAACATGTACACATCACCACGCCCAGCTAATTTTTGTATTGCTTGTAGCGACAGGGTTTCATCATGTTACCCAGGCTGGTCTTGAACTCCTAGACTCAAGCAATCTGCCCACTTCAGCCTCCCAAAGTGTTGGGATTATAGGCATGAGCTATCACGCCCAGCCTTTTGTTAATTAGTAGTTTCTAATATTTCAAGATCAGGAGATTTCACATAAAAGCCAGGTATCCTATGTCTCTTGTAAAATGAAAAGATCTGATATTCCAGGTTCACATTTTCACAAAGAAGCACCAAGCAGCTGGAGCTAGGTAGTAGCTGCCCCCTGCAGATGGGGTATGTGCTTATGGGTTTGCTGTAGACCCCACCACTCCCTAATGCCTTACGTTCATCTTGCTTCCCTCTTTAAGGTTACCTATCTGTGCCTTCTAGATGCGGGAATTTGTAACATCTGTCTGGTAGAATGAAGGATAGCTCCCAAAGATAAACAGGGTCTAATTCCTGGAATCTATGAACGTATGGCAAAAGAGACTTTTCAGGTGGAATTACGTTAAGGGTCTTGAGGTAGGGGGATCACCTTGCATTCTCCTGGTGGACCCTAAACGCCATCACAGGTGTTATTCTAAGTGGGAGCCAGAGGGGAGATTTGACTAAGAGGCACGTGAACAACAGAATTAGAGTTGAGAATGATATGGCCCTAGCTTAGAAATGCCGGAAGCTGGAAAAGGCAAGGAAGGAATTCTCCCCTAGAGACTCCCCAAGAAAACAGTCCTGCGGATGCCTTGATTTTAGCCCCCTAGGACTCATTTCAGACATCTGGCCTCCAGATCTGTAGCAGGGTAAGTTACTATTGTTTTAGCCACTAAATTAGTGGTTGGTTGTTACCGCAGCAATAGAAAAGTAATATATCCTGCCAGCTAGTGAGCTCAACAAATGTCTTGAGTGCACAGAGTGCAGTGGGCAGGCCCTACCCTCGAGGAGCCTATAACCTAGAAGGAGAGGACAAAATGATCATGGCAGTGGAACATGATCAAAGCAACAGAGGGATAAGCCTTAGGGACTCTAGGCACATACCTGAGGAATCTCTAATCCAGGACTGCGGATTTCCAGAAGGCGCTGTTTTCCAGCTTTATTTATAGGAGACATGTATGCATCCATCTCTGCTGGGCAGCAAAACTCTGTCAAGGCCTCAAGCGTGCCGAGGCCGAGGGACATGGTGTGTGTGCACGGGTAGGTGGAAGCAGCGGGAGGCCCTGGGGGGGGAGGGAGGCTCCTCACCTTGCCTGCTGGATGAACTGGGTTGCTTTCTCCGCATACTTCTGGGCAAGGCTGCTCAAGTTCACCGGCTGCTCCACGATGTTGAGGTTTTCATAGAGAGGGAGGGCCACGTCAGTGTAACAGTCTCTTTCAAGGTTGCTGTGTGGAAACCACAGACAGTAGAGTATTCATTTCCTACGTACTCACGGAGCAGAACTAAATGCTTTAATGCAACAATGCATATGCACATAAATACAACTCTGGCCCCAGATGATTTTTCTGGTTGGCCATTTCCTCCAAGTGTAAAAGTCTATGCATAATGCTTTCTTCCATTCCCTCTGAATAGATATTTAGGCTCCTCGGACAAGCTGACCACTCTGTAAAGCTTACAAAGACTCTCGTGAGCTAGGGACGGTATTTTTTATTACTTCCATTTTGCAGGAAGAGAAACTGAGGTCTAAAGAGGCTAAATGATGTCAAGCAGAGTCCCCCCGCCAGTCAGTAGCCCCATTGCTGGCTTTCTCTGCGGTCTCACTTCAATCCCAGCCTCTGGGTATGGTGTGTAACTTGGCGTTTTCTGAAGTCAACACTCGGGACTTCATGTAATACCAGATCTGTCAATAGGACAGAATATATAAGATGGGCCAGGTGTGGTGGCTCATGCCTGTGATCCCAGCACTTTGGGGGACCGAGGCCAGCAGGTCATTTGAGGTCAGGAGTTCGAGACCAGCCTGGCCAACATGCTGAAGCCCTGTCTCTACTAAAAATACAAAAAGTAGCTGGGCATGGCAGTGCGCACCTGTAATCCCAGCTACTCAGGAAGCTGAGGCAGGAGAATCATTTGAACCCGGGAGGCGGAGGTTGCAGTGAACTGAGATCATCCCACTGTACTCTACCCTGGGTGACAGAGTGAGACTCGGTCTCAAAAAAAAAAAAGGAATACATAAGATGGATTGGGACAATTTGAATTTTAAGCCATATTTGCAGAATTTGGAGAAACTTCA